GAGTCCACCCAGTCGCTCACAGCTACTGCGCAAGGTGAGAAACCATCCAATGACTCCAATCATATTTTTGGAACCATTGGAACTCCAATCTAATCATATCATATCTGGATCCACCCACCAACCTCTTTGCGCTATTATACTATGTATTGTATCGTTTAGGATGTCTAACTGGCCCAACGTCGCCAATTACAGATTGTTATTTTTGTTTAGTCGCTCTTTGTTTTGCTTGTTTTTCTTGTTGCACTTTTGCTTGCTTTTTTTTTGCTTTCTTGGTTGCTTTTGGTTTTGCTTGTGCTTTTTTGGTTGCACTTTTGGTTGCTTTTTTTTTGCTTTCTTGGTTGCTCTTTGTTTTGCTGGTGCTTTTTTAGTTTGCTTTTTTTTGCTTTTCTTTTGCTTTTTTTTCAAGTTCTAGGTTTTCTAGAATAAAGCCACCTCCGGTGGACACAAACAAAGGGCATCGCGACTCGAACGGAGCGATCGGACGCTACGAACGGGGCTCCTGGCCATACTACTATAGGAACAAGAAGCTACTAGGGGCATCTATAGGGGCTCCTGGCATCGCTACGAACAGAGCGATCGGACGCTACTAGGGGCTCCTGGCCGTACTACCAGGAGCAAGGACGCTATGAACAAGAAGCCACTAGGAACAAGTGCCACGCTAGTAGTAACAGGTGCCTTACTAGTAGTAACAAGAAGCTAGTAGTAACAAGTGCCACGCTGGTAGTAACAGGTGCCTTACTAGTAGTAACAAGGTTCGCTACTAGCTTTTTTCACTGGCCATGTTCGTTCCTCGGCCGCGTGGACGGCCGCGGAGCTGCGGAGCGCGGTGAAGCTGCTCCATGAAGCTGACGGCAGAACGCTTCTGAGGGCGGACAGGGCGGAGCAGCCTCCAAAGCAAGGAGACGGGCACAACACAGCAGGTCAGGTTCATCCAGGTTTTTACTGGGTTTTAGACTCATATCAAACAGAAATAGGTGAACATATTGGATGCATCTGGATGCTAGTTTAAGCTAGATCTCGCTCCTAGCATGTTTAAGCAAAAGGCTACAGGTCAAAATCACAGGCCGCTACCAGTGGTGAGCTGCCAGCTTCTAGATTTGTTTGGTGTGGGTGCTCTTTGCTCAAGAAGCACCGGACCTTTCCCACTGAACCCATTCACTAAGCGCTCCGCAGTTGGAGGTGTACTACATGGAGTCCAAGCACAACCACCCCTCTAAGTATCGGACGCAGCTGAGCCGGACCGTGGATTCCAGGCAAGACTCTCTACTCGAGTAGGAGCTTCGATGACCCTCAACTGCAGGTGACCTTTTGTTTATTCTAGCGAATGTGAATGTGATTTCAGTCTCTTGGATGCCTCCTATATAAATGGTAAAACTGTTGGAGTTCTTTGGGGCTGTACCAAAGCCCAGGTTTTCTCACAAAATAATCTCTTGAACACAAACGTAAACACAGCCCTTTGTGGATGACTCTTTACATCGCTTTACAGTACTTTGCTCGGTTGTTTTGGAATGTCAACTGATTCACCCCAGGATCAGCTAAACATCTCTTCATTCCGCTTGAAGAATCTGCAACCTTTGCGCCGTCCCAAGAGGAATCCAGTTGAAACATATTGTTTCCCATGCGGTTCGCCACTAAAAGTATAAGGAATCAAGATCTTGGTTGTCCAGACTCACAGCAGTTCAAAGGTCTTCACTTTGCAAGAGTATTGGAATAAAACTTAGTTTGGCCGAGCCGCAGTAGCATTGCATGTTATCGCTATGTATAGTGCTGTGGTTGGCATGATACCTCACTTGATGTTGAAATCCAACAAACACTCGGAACGAACACTTTGACCAGAAAACACACGTTATTGTCTCATATTGTCTCAGGGTTTGTCAAGGCTCCAACACTGATCAATACCCTTCAGGCCCTTCAATCTCAATGGATGACTCTGCAAAATTGAATAGACCCAAACCTTTGGGTGGAAGCAAATAAAATCTTCACCTCGCGTCTTCAGTGCATTTCCCTGATCTCTGCCTCCGTCCAAGGCTGCACATCCACTTCACCAGCCCCATGGAAGAGCAGGCCGGACTGGCCTGGGTAATGAACCATCTGAAGGATTCCATGACCAACGTCAGTCGGGCGCCCGCTGGCCAGGAAGCAAGACCCCAGACACCGCACAACCATCCCTCATCTTCTTGTGGGTGGATCCGGAGATCTTGGTGATTTATAGATCACAACTTGGGAGGCTGCGATTCAGGCTGCGTGGGATCCAGGCCGGGCCCAGTGGGATCCAGAAAAGTGCCCACACTGGGCGCCATCTCAGGTTTTTTTCTCCACGCGGTTCATCTAGATGTCGCTTAAACAAGATTGCTTAGCATCTATATACCTTCTTTGGGAGAGCGAATTCCTCACCATGTAGAGTACATTGCTTGGAAGATTTTTCCTCAACACTAAGACCTTCTCAGTCAAGTCAGACACTGTGTGGTGGAGTTGATCAACCGGTTTGACCGGCCAATAATAGCTCCAGGCGACTTCGGACTCCAGGCCACTCACGTCGTCGGAGTCGGCTCGGATCGCGCAAGGAAAGGAAACTCCTCACGCGTGCGTCAAATGCTCGTGACATGCTGTGGATGTCTCCAACAAGTGGCCAACTTGAATTTGGGATTCCATAGGGGCACCAATAGGCTCACTGGGCTCACTGGTTTCTTGTGTGCCCGCGCCAAGCCAGTTTAGGTGTGCTAGGTGTAGCGGGATTGTCAGCCTGCAATGGTTGTTTCCTCGCATCATTCATCGCTGAGCTTGTTTGTTCTATCATTCCTGGCAAGAGAGGCTCAATGGCCAATGGCTACGGAGACCCGACTAAGTCACGTCAAGCGCATGGGTCGACTCTCGACCAGCTCATGCAATCTGCAAGGTTCCTCCACGAACCGAACCTTCAGGGAGTCTTGGAGAGTGTTTTCTGGATGCAAATGTGGCGCCAGGCCTGCAGAGATGGATGAAGACTCGGTGAAGATGCCAAGTCATCCAAGTTTTTGCATCTATACCGAGCTGTTTATGGAAGACGTGTCCACTAGGATGCACTGCTTGCAGGGCAAGCTGGTGTCAGGGAGTTGGTCATTCGTTGCACTCGTGGTCAGAGCTTGGTGCTGCGGACGTGCAACGTCACGCAGGCGATGGCTTGATGCAGCAAGTCCTCGGCCTCGATCCGTTTCCTTGCATCGGCCTCAACTGGCATGTAGCTCGGCCACTTTCCGCCTGCTTTGCTTAAGGAGTGCGCGGGTTGAGGCCAGAGTGGTTGAGGCTTGGCAGTTTGGCCGCTCAAAACGGCAGCTGCCAGCCTCTGCCTCCCAGAGCCATTTCGGCTGGAGCAGCTGGAGGTAGAACTCCACATGTGACGTATCTTCCCGCAGCGGCTTTTGAGATGCGGCGCATGTTGTGCATGTCTCACTGAACCCAGGATCGACCGATCCAGTATATAATTATGTGCAAAAGGAAACGAGGGGCACCTATATTTACAAACCTGTCCAAGTTGTCAATTTGCCCGGATTTAATCATGGACCCTTAACATGCACTTACAGAATTCAAGAAGATCAGCTCCCGCCTCCCCAAAGAGGATTCAACTGTCATTTACAGGAATCTGCCTAGCAAGTGAAGGACCCGCCGGCCCCTGTTCACGGCAACAATGCAACATGGCCGCTGATCTATGCAAGAAACGGATTCTTCAGCTTGGGGCGCTCACATCTATCGCGATTTGGGCGGCGGGACTTGATATATCTTGACATTGTAACCATGGTACACCAAATAATGAAACGATGCTCCTTGCATGCCTATATAGGCCATCAGTATCTATCCCTGAGGTCACCTTTTGTATCTAGGAATTGAACAGCGACACATGTCATTATATAAGTATTGCCATATATGACACCATCTAAAGTGGGCCAGCAACATAGCCCCACTTAAGTCGTTATTCCTGGAAGAGTTTTAAACAGGGCCTTCTTCAGCACGCATTGTTTGATGATTTCTTTTGCCCTGGAGCCGAATCTAAGGAACACCTCAAAGTGATTCCACATATCGAATGATATTGACAATATTTTGGCCCAGCTTAAGCCAAGTGTTGAGCACTGAGATATGCTGAATGTCCTCGAATAGCCTTTCACCGTGCATCTGCTGCAACGCCTCCGCCAGCATGCACAAATCGAGCATCTGTGGCAGCCATGTCATACCATGTCGCTTCAAAAAACACGGGTCTGCTCTGAAACATGAAGCAAATCACATACAAAAAAACTTCTCCTCTCGCAGACAGACCCTCGATCTCACACACACAGAACAAGAAACTCCCACAGTGTCACCCATTCTGCTATTTGATGTTCACGAACTTTGGTAACCAAATCAAACTCAACTTCCTCCCTTCATCCTCTCTTCAGCCCCTTCCCCACACCTGTCCCCACGCCCTTGCCATCCCTCGCCTCCACCAGCCCCTTCCGCGCCGCCGCCGGCACCACCCCGGCGCCCAGGCGACGAGTGGCTTCGGACAACACGGGAGCCTCGGACCAGTTCCACTTCGGGAGGTTCCACTTCGGGAGATGTGACCCCCCTTTGACATGGAAGACAGTGACGTGTCATGTCTTGGCATTTCCCCATGAAAGAGCTTGCAGCGCTCAGAGTGGCCCCAAGACACAGTTTGTTACAGTTTGGCGGGAACCAATGCCAACTCTGGAAGGTTGGATGCAACTGACAAATTACACTCTCCAACCTAATAGCTTCTTGCTACTAGTAGTAATGGCCTCCAACCTAATAGCAAATTACAGCCACCCACCCACCACCAACAGGCGCGGCCTGGCCTATTTCCTCCTACTGGTCACCTACCTACCTCTTTTCCACACTCGAATCCACCAAGACTGGAGACTTCAGGACACTCCGATCCCCGTCAAACCCAAACCTCGCTCGTTCCTGCGCTCGTTCGACTTCGCACGTGGCAATCAACACCTGAACCTGACTCCCTCAGTTTCCTTGGACAAGAGGCAATGAACCTCGGCCACCTGTTCATTGTTTAGGGGGGAAACCAATCCCCAGTAAAGTGGCTCTTCCACCGTCGTGCAAGGAGGTCTCCCTGCCTTCAAGACCTCGAAGCCCTGCAGTCTGGACAAGGCCTTGGCCCAATCGCTCAAGGTTTCCAAAGGCATCTCGCTGAAACCTGCGGGACCGGCGGAATAGCGTGAATAGCGCGACTGGTGAGCAATCCATTCATGCCACGGCCATGGGGCAGTGGTCTTTTGAAACGGGGAAAGCAATGATGGGAGCGCTACAGCGCTACTGCAAATTCCCTGCCCTTTCATCCCTTTCCCTTTCAGCCTGGACCCTTTCGGCACGCCTCCGGAAAGGACCGACTCTGCAAGTGCCTCTTGCAGGCGCACCATCTCCGTCTTGGCCAATGCACTTCCTGGGAGATCGAACATCGGCGCATCGCGGCGCCGGGGCCGAGTCGGACGGCGCGGAGTCGGACGGAGTCCTTGAGCGACGAAATCTGGGATGTCCGATGTTCCGGTTTTTCTGGCGAACGACCGAATTGAGGTGGATTGCAAAAGAATCCGATTCGACAAAAACCCAAAGGAAATCGCTGCTCCCAACCTGATCAATTAATACCTCCTGATGTCAATGAACTTTCGCTGGTGTCTGATGACCCCCTTGAACATCACCCCCACGTGGATCCAAGTGCAACCAATTGGTTTGCACAACAGGACAACAATATCTACAATGGACTCTTTTATCTGTTTCAGGTTTCTTCCTCTCTGGCTCACCCCTCTTCCTTCTCCATCATTCCCGCAGCTGCACCGCGCGGGCAGCGAAACAAAAGTGGATCCCTTCTGAAACAACATGCTATGGTGAGTTACAGCGCTGGTAAGTTTCTGGTCTGATTTCGGTCCGCTTCAGCGACGTCAAAAAGCAAAACTGGGTGGTGGGTGGTTGAAACTTGCTGCATATAGGGATCAACAAAACATGACAAAACATCCTGCACAGCTCGCAGAACAATTGCCCTTCTCCAAATTGCACAAAGGTCCTTCTCCCCCCAGGTGGATCTAGACTCTTCCCAGTCCCTCGTGTCCTCAAGCCGCTCCAGGAGCTTTGGCTGGGTCCGCTTCTATCAGGCTGGACCAGGCTGGACACTTGGCTGATCTGAGTCAGTTTCACCCCACACATTCCCACGCCCACGCCACCAAAGTCCTTGCAGCTCCACCAGCAACAGCGCCAAGGCGGCCGCCGGCGCCGCAGGCCAGGTGCTTCCGCGCAAGGAAGCAGCGCCTGTTGGGGTCGGTGCGGCTTCGGACCGAAGGATGGAGACCAGGACCAGGGGGACACTGCGGACACACTCTGCTGGAGCGTCGAACTGGGGTGGAGGAGCAGGGGCGTGAGGACGCAGCCCAGTGATCTTTTCGTTATGATACGTGCAGTGCGTTCTCGGCAGTGCAGCGATGCAAACCAATCGATGTCTGTCACGGTACCCCAAAATGCTTTACACAGCACAGTAAGCTTTTGGGCAATCAAAACCCCAAAAATGCCTTGCAGCACAACATGGTTTTATTATTGTTGAATTTACAAGCATAGTCCCCAGTGGCCCAAACATCTGGTGGACGAAATGTGAGAAACTCTATGGTTCCAAACATCATCTGAATGTGTACGTCTGTGCGTCAAGACTTGTCTCATGGACAGAAGGCAGTACAGGCAGGCAGTCCGGGCAGTCCATAAGTGATTGGTCGACCTTTTGCCATTGTGGTTGCTTGGAACCATCCCAGAAAGCATCTAGGTCACCACTTCATCCAACTGCGCAATGGCCAGGGAATTCGAGGCCCATGGGCCTGGGTCCGGTTCTTTGCTTGCTTCAATTGTTCTTTGCATACCAAAGAACCTCCGTCTCCGTCTCCGACACATTCACAACCAGTTTCGTCAGGCAAATTCTGTAAATGGACAGGCGTTCTGCGTTTGAGATACTTGCACACCAGTCCTGTTCTTTCTCATAACGCTTGATACAGCCAAAAAGTTTCTCATTCAAGGCGTCAGTGACGAATCTCTTTGTCAGTTGTTATATTGCGGCTTGTACTCGAATCAGCATCAAGGATCTTACACAGATTCATCTCTGCATCTGCACCTATGCAACTGATATGCTGTGCTGCAAGGTAATCGGTCTTGTGGGCTGTGAGAAAGCAATGAATGGTACACCCTAATGTGCTAGAATCTAGAACATATCTATCAATCCAAGACATTCCGTTGATGTTCAATCAAATGGGACGGACACTACATGAAACGATTTAGCATAATCCTTTTCCTCCATTGCCACTCTTCTCTCAACTGAGAGTAGACTCTGTCCCTTCTCCACGCAATCCATCCATCCACCATCCAACGGATCTGAAGAAATGTCCACATCTTCGAAGCCACACTTCCTCCCGGAAACAGCTGTTTGTTGTAGCCAAAAGTATCTTCTGGGCTGAGACTGTTCTCATCTTCGCTCGAATCGTCGAAGGTTGACTCTACGCGCCAAAGAGAGAGAGAGAGGCACGCAAATGGTCCAACTGGACCAACTTCCCTCCCCAGCACCCTTTTGGCGTGGCTTGACGGTTCAACATATTCAACTCCAACTGAAACAAACCACTGGCTTGGGTGCGGAATCAGTCGTTTTGTTGGACTTCCTGCCTCTGGCTTTTCCGACTTCCAACACAACATGGGCCATGTGCACGAATAGGCCAATCCTCCATTCACCGACCACCCAACATGTATAACCTCGATTGATGTTATCCCAAAATCTTGATTGATGTGGTCTATGCTATGTGATGTCTCTTGGAATCTTTGGAATTGACCGACCTTAAAAAGGCTTGCTATGTGAAGCTCCCGTCTCCCGTCTCCTCGTCTCCGCCCGACTCGTCCGGCTCGTTCGTTCGCACGGCTCCTTGCCAGAAGATCTGGGTCCAGAACTGGGGATTCTCATGCTCCAAATGGACCGCAGCGGCCTCCCGCAGACGGAGGTGATGGTGGCCATGTGACCACAGGAGGTGATAGGAGATAGGAGACCACACGCTTTTTGTGGAAGTTCTTCAGGATGTGGGGTGAAACTGAGGGTTTCGCGACTTGTTGGAGTGCTTCAGAACTCTCACACAAACAAGAGATTCCCGAACGATCAGGCTGAAAGCCTGTAAATCATCCAAAAAGGAATGCATGTATACACAGCAGTTTTGAGGGCGGGGAGAGCCTCATTGTAGAAGCTGAGAAGTGGGACCACAGGGTCGTTTATTGACTATATATAATGGTCCAATGGTACAACAACTGAGGTCCTGCGCGTTTGTTTAGTGATTTGTATGAGTGGTATGTAGTATACTTATCTTACGTAGACAGCTGCCAGAGCCAGGGACGCCAAGTAAGAGTACACGTCCCAGGTCAGCCTAACCCGTACCCCCCCTGCACCACAAATGAACAAAGTAAAGCTGCCAATGGTTGGCTGCCAATGTAAAGATTTGCCTCACTTAAAGGATGGCGTCCCAAGTGTAGCGAAAGTAGCTTGTCTCCCTTTAGCCTTCAAGTAGAAATATACTAAAATGATGAAATAAATACTTGGGGGTGTCATGTTCGTTCTGACCATGCACCCTACACTCCCACATTCTTTGGCCAGAAAGACCTCATTGTGAGCTCGGACCATCTTCCAAAAAAAATGTAACAAGTCATCACATCCAAATCCAACCCCTTTCACGCAAAACTCTTTTTGGAGTGAAACGTCCAAGTCCCGTTAAATACAGGGAATTTCGCTTCAATGGCACAAGCTGATAGACCACTGGACATGTGGAACTGGGTTCATACAATATGTGAACACAGCGGAAGCGATTTGGAAACCCTGAAACTTCCGGTTGAAACGTCATCACGCCATCGCGCTCCCGGCCATCACGCTGACCAAACCGCTGCTCATGAGCCTCAGAATCCAAGGGATTGCGATAAACACGACCCATCCGGCGACAAACCCAATCTTGGGTGTAGGAACAAACACGACCTCAGCATCAAATTTGCTGTTTCCAAACGCAACATTCAGTCAATGTTTCTATAAGTTCAGCGGCAGCGGTTGCAAAACAACAACTAAACTGAGTTTCACACACCTATGCGCGTCAAACCGCCGATGCTCGAAAAGGTCAAGGAGTCAAATATTTCCATGGTCCGGCAAAAATATGTTCAGTTCCACAACCTTCCGACCTCGATCTACAAGTATTGTGGGCAATCAAAACAAAGGGTCGGGCACCCCAAAGCCATGAAACCAACCAAAACGGCTTTTGGCTAGTGAACACAAGGAACACCTCTGCAGTACGTATATATAGTTTTCTATTGTTGGTGTTTCCGCCCGTCCGCCCTTCGCCCACCCCCGGGCCAGGGCCGAATGGCTTGGGCATGAACTTCAGGCACTGGGCAAAGACTGGACCGCGGATGCGGGGGAAGTCGAAGGACTCCTGCGATGGGAAGAACAAAATTGTTACCGTCTTTTGCGCCGGCGGAGTATGGAGGTGATCAGCTCGGAATCTGGATTCAAATGGCAAAGAACGGTGTAAGTGTAGTAAGCGGTATGCTAGATCTAAAAAGATGACATTCCATCTCAACTCCAAAAACATTGGCGAAAACTGGCAAAAACTTGTTTCTGTTTGCAGCCAGTTCCCTTCACAATGCTTCGAAGGGTTCAGATTGATACTTTACTTGCGCGGACCCTTAAGCTTGGCTAAGCCTAGCTTTGACGTGTTTTGACTTAGAAGGGTTAGTAAGTCCTAGCTAGGACTTAGTTAAGTCCGCTAAGTCAGACTTAGGCATGGGACATAGTTTCGACTTACCTTGGACTTAGCTTTGGCTTAGCTTTGACTTAACTAACTTAGCTAAGTCGGCTAAGTCTATAGAGCTAAGTCAGCTAAGTCTATGTTAGCTAAGTCGGTTAAGTCGGCTAAGTCTATGTTAGGTAAGTCGGTTCAGTCGACTAAGTGTCTACCTGGCTAAGTTTGCTGTCAGATGTTTACTGTGTAAATAGTCTGCTGTCAACAATGTCAGATTTTCTCCTTCTAAAGTAGTCTAGAGTCTACAGTCAGACAGTGTCAGATGTTTTTGTGACAGTTTTCTCCTTCTAAAACAGTCTGCAGTCAGACAGTGTCAGATTTTGTTTCTGACAGATTTCTCCTTTTACATTAGCCTACAATCAGACAACGTCAGATGCCAGATGTTTTACTGGCAGTTTTTGTTCTACTTATATAAATAAGTCTGCAGTCAAATAATGTCAAGTTGTTTCTATATGTTCTAAATGTTTTGGTGTCAAACATATTCAACTTGAGAGAGGAGGGGGTGAACGAAAGGTAGCAGGCAATCACAAGTAACCCTGGTAGAAGTCCATGACGCCGTGAACCGGCGCAGGGGGGATTTGATCCAGGGAGGGGCGGGCCCCCCCCCCCCCCCGACGAACAGAATCATCTCTTACAGGACCAAGTTCAATGCACAATCCCAACTCCTGATTGTAATATTTTTTGCTAAAGCAAGGAGAACTCAGGTAGCTCAAGCTACCTTTCGTGACTTATAGCATGATCCTGGCCCAACTTAGCCGACTTAGCTGACATAGCCGACTTAGCAGCTAAGTCGACTTAGCTTTGACTTTGACCTAGCCGACTTAGCCAACTTAGCCATAAGTCGGAGCTAACTCTTCAAAGTTGGCTAAGCCCGCCATAAGTGTTTACTAACTACTAACTTTTATATCTCTTACTAAGTCAAAGCTAAGTCAACTAGGTGGCTTACAGAAGATATGGGACTTATAACCTAGGTTATGACTAGGTTAGGGTAGGTTATAACCTATATAGGTTATAAGTCAAAGTTAGCGCAGGTCTGCGCAAGTACGTATCAACTGGCGTGGTTGACAAAAGTTTTGTTCCCAAAAGCAGCGTGAATTCGCCAGACCATGCGTGCCATATTTTTCCATACCAGTGACATTTGACGTCACTGATCATATATGTTTCCAATACCTTGACATCGTTTGACATCATGTTCCAGTACATTGTTTTGTGTTTTTTTTTGTGTGTGGTCTTGCTTCCTACCCAGCAAATAAGATAAATAAGCTACTGCGCCCTTTTGAACCTCAGCTGGGTTGTCTTCCATGAACATGGTCGTTTGCATCACGTCCTGCATCCTTCAACCTCTTGCGCTCATGTGGCGTCAGCACTGCGCTATTCTCGAGACCTGCATTGGGGTCATTTGGATGGTGGACTACCGGGCACGCCTTTCCCGTTTCTGCGATTCCTGCTGGCGCATAGCTAGCTCCGAGCTAGCACAAAAAATCCTCGCGCACGAAGACAAGCTCTCATAAATCCCATCAAACAAAAACACTGCTAACTAGCCCTATCTACATCACAGTTTCTGTTTATCGAACACAGAATCCCAAAAATTACACCAGCATAGACCCCAAGTAGGAAGGGATACTTGTGGGCATCACCCTGCAGCAGCACCCTGCAAGAGCACCAGCACCCAAGCTCCAGAATGCACACAGGCCATATGCATCTGGCAGCGGCACCCTGCAACGGCACCAGCACCCAATCCCCAAAGCGCACACAGGCACCTTTTCCTATACGTGAAGGAAGTAAGAGCCCCAATAGCTGTCACTATCTGAGGAAGCAAAAACTGATTAGAGCAACACAAACGCCATGCTAGCGCCTAGCTGGTGGGAGTAATCAACTTAAGCTAGAAGGACCCCATGAAATCCACAAATAGGCCGGGGAAACCCTGGATCCTGAATGCGCATGATGCTGGATCCTGAAAGCACTGGGGCAACCAACCGTCCAACCCCAAGACAACACATTCCTTCGAGGAGAGCACACCCGCAAAATCAGATCCAACCACCCCCCAACGACAGCTGCTCAGGTATGTCGCATCACACGTAACTCGCGTGTTGACCCCTTGAAGTCTTGTGGAGTCCATCTACCAAACAAATCAACAAAAGCAAAACACACATATATATATAGCTATTAGTAACAAGTGCCACGCTAGTAACAGGTGCCTTACTAGTAGTAACAAGAAGCTAGTAGTTAGCTTCTTGTTACTAGTAGTAAGGCACTTGTTACTACTAGCGAGGCACTTGTTACTAGTAGCCTCTTGTTACTAGGAACTTCTTGGGCAAACATGTCCGATTCCGATCATTTACGGCTATCGTGTGTAAAAAACGACTTTGTCTGTGGTTCGGTGTTTTTGTCCCCTGTAGGTGTTCTTGTCAATTTGGGGGGCAATGCTCAAATGGATAAGCATCCACCCACTACTGGTTCCAGGAACTCCATAACGATGAACACCCTCCTTGATTGAACTTGATATGATTCACTTTTGCATCTTCCTGTACGTTATTAGTGTCTATGCTTCATTGCTTCAAGATCTTTTTGCGTAGGTTCCTACCCATTACATAGGCATTGTGGTCCGTTACGACCAGTTGTACTCGGTGGTACATTCTTACCCATTCCCTCCTCGCACTCAGGGGCTTGGCTGGCTACGGCTAAGGGAATCGTCGCCTTTTCGGGGGGAGTGGACGACATGAATTTCTAAAACATGAAGCCGAGCCGGGCAGAAATGATGGCCTAAGCCTAACGATGGTCTAGAACATATTATACGATACCCTGGCCATGAATCCAAGGGTGTCCAGGGGGGGCGTCATTGGGGACTCTGTGGATGGGGACTCTGAGTTTCGCGCTGGACATCTGGGAACCGGTGCTTTCTTCGACCAAACAAGCACCCTGCTGAAATATCCACCGTGGAGGTTCAAGAATAGGAAGGACAACTCTTGGGAATTCCAAGAACCCCATTGACCCCATGTCTTGTGAACGGTAATGTAGACTCTTGATGAATAAACCCGCACATGAAGAAAACTTCCAATTCAAACAGTGGATTTACTCATCAAGAGTCTACTACATTATATAAGTCGGAAACATATACTGTACTATATCTTGGAGGTCGGAACTTCCCATGTTCTTACCTCACCAGAGAACATGTTATCGAATGAGCCTTGACCAAACGCTAATTCACTTGGTCTAAACGGAACTATCTTGGAAACCATCAGCGAGATTCAGCGAGCTGACTGAACTAAAACTGAGCTAACAAACTTTTTGAAGCTGATCAGAACACTCGCAGAATCAGAAGGCCGATGGATTGTCTCACGGGGCACGGATCTGCGCCTTCGGCATGTTTTTCAAGGCTGCTACGGTGAGGATGGTGTCCGGTAACCTTGGCTTGCTTGTGCTTGGTTTGGCTCTCCATTACGGGCTGCTCTTAAGCCAGCCACGTGTGGTTTGCCATGTGTGGTTCGAACAAAAGCCAAGCATCAGTAGCTCAGTAGGTGATGACCGCTTTAGCTGTGGTAATGAGGTTGATGTTGGTAAGGAAACAAGGTTATAGGTAGTAGGTTGTTCTCGTCGAGGATGAGAAAAAATAACATTAAGCCACAGACGGACTGCCTGGACTCGGACCCATTAAAACCGGATTCGTGTTCAAGGTTTACAGTCCCTGAAACCTCATAGCAATGGCCTCCACCCTACGAGAAATGGCCTCCAACCTAATAGCAATTACTTCCAACCTACTAGTGACCTACTAGCGAAGAATCTCGTACAGTCCCTGAAACAATCATGGTTACGTGGAGTTCACCACCATAGTCGTCCTATTCCCAATTCGGAACATTGTCGTCCGAAATCGAGGCCGGGCCATCCACTTCCATCGATTATGTCAGGGAGTGTACCCTCCCTCAGCTCCCGCATGGAAGCAGGCCGCAGGCCCAGCAGGCTCCCGCTTGTAAAGGGAAAAAAAGTGTATTCCAGGCGCCGAACTGTTCCACTTTTGTGAGTGTTTCGGGATGTGTAAAAGCTTCTAGGAGTTCTACTCGTCACTTCGAGTTTCATTGTTACTAGAAGCGATGCACTTGTTCCTAATAGCAAACATTGTTACTACTAGTAAGGCACCTGTTACTACTAGCGTGGCACTTGTTCCTAGAGCAAAAAACCCGAGCTAGGATGGAACGATCGCAGACTCTTCACAATCCCCGCGCTGACTCCTACGCTGAAGCCCCGACCAATATTGCAATGTCTCAAACCCCATTCCATTTGCCCTGATCCTGCTCCTCAGTTTCATGCCTTTCTTCCAAACTGAGAGTCTGAGCAAGAACAATACCCTGAGATCCCCTCCCTGCTCTGGCCAAAGGCACTCCATTTGCATCACGACTTTGGGGAGCGAATGCTCCACGACCTCTTCAGGGCCCCCCAAATCAATGCATCAATAAGACAGCATCTAGAATGATGTGCACCAGTTGATGGGAAAAAAATAACATGTTTTGACACATGCAACAGTGCAGGATGTGTCTCAAAAGTATTCAACAGTCACGCGTTAGTGTGATGGTATATCTAACGTATCATAATGTGTATGTATTACATAATACATACACATTTCTTCCAATGGGAAATATCAAACGGTCTCCAAATAGAGCTGACTTTGAGGCATGAAACAAATTAGAACATCTCCAACCAGATCAGAGTTCTTTGTCAACATGTTTCAACAGATTTGGACACGTCCATCAATTGAATGGACATCTTCTCTCCCAGCCACCTGGTTCATTAATTACAATGTTGTCTCACCTCGCACTCAAAGAGTGCAGGAATGCAGGAACTCATGGCTGCGGTATTGTCCTCAACTATAGGTTAGGGTGTTGTCATCAACTATCAAATGTTTTTTTGTTTAATAGAGTTCGGGACCTTCCATGGCTCATAGTCAAGAAAAAGGACTAAGCACACCCTGAACCATTGGAGATAAACAAAATCATTTCCAGTTCAACAGCTCTGCACTCGTTCACTTATTAAGTATATTAAGTCGGATCCATCAATAGAAGGGCTCGATGTTCGGATCCACAGATCCACGTCACACGTCATTCCACATCCAATCCCCTGGGCGTTGCCCGCTCGTAGGAACTCCTCAGGGCAAAAGCGCAAGCGAGTGGCCTCAGTGTTCGGCAGGCGAAAGCACCGTGGACCGGGCACGGCCCCGAAGACTGGGACCATGAAATCCGAAGACCAAATAGGTCATTGAACATCGTTTCCGCCCAACGCCGGCAGAACCATCCGCCCGTGTTTGCCAAGGCGTAAGCTGCAGCCTTGAGGGTCAAAAAGGCCGAGACACAATCACATGCATTCTTACATGCAGGAACCCCACGAATTTATGATGATACCAGGGAGTGTACCTCTGTTCGAGCAAGCGTAGGTCGTATACGTCTACCTACCGTGTATTGAATCTTCCTTTCCTATAAGCCTGTCCAGGGTTTCTCCCTCAGCTCACCATCCTGGCAGGTGCCAAACTGGGCCTCTATTTCTTCTTCCTGACCGTTTCTGGCTCGTCCAAGGGCAGTCGCGCTCCCAAGGACCGAACCGTGCGACCCGGACACGTGGTCCGAGGGAAGGTCAGAAAGGAAAGCAAATGAACGAAAGTGAAGTGCTTCTGGCTTCTGGATCCACCTAGTTCTCCTAAAAACTATCCAAAGAAAGGGTGACAACGATGGTGTGACGCCCTGCCCCCGGCCATTCCGGGCCACATAGGCGTGCACGATGGAGCCCATGTTCTCGGCCGGGATGACCTGGTGAGGTGGGAATCACACGCGGATTCAAAGGATCCTCCGAAAGTTGAGGGTTCTTCATTTTTGTTGGGGCTCCAACCATATTTTTAGAAGGTAGTTAGGCCCCCCCTAAACCCACCTGAACCACCTTCTCAGGAGGTGGAGTCCTAGGGTATGATCCTTATTGATAAAATTGAAAGAACGGGTAAACACATTGACACGAGCGCGCTCTCGCCTCGCATGTTTGGTAGCGTAGCAATGCGTAGCATACCGTGGGCCACGAGGTCCACCAGCTTTCTGGGGGTGCCATCTGGTGGCAACAATTACGTAGTGCAACTCAACAATCTGCGGGTGATACGCGCAGCCACCGTGGACAAACCATGAAAAGGTGATGCACGTTCACCAGCAGCAGAGCGCACCAGGTTCAGGTCCAAGCGAAACCTAAGCCACAGTGGCCTGTACCACGGGCAGCGGGCCAATCAATCCAGCTCTGGACACCGGACTGAGCTAAAGGAGCCAGTAGTGAAAAGAGGCCGGAACGCAGGAACACAGAAAAGTGATCCCAACTGCTACTTTGTTCTGATTACATCTGAGTACAACAGTATTACAGTGAAAACATATGAAAACATCAAAGAAGCCAGATGTGCTCTGGAGTGCAAAGCACTCGCCTCTGGAGCGCAGAAGACGGGGCAAAACTCTGTGTTTTTTTCCTCCCGAGAGTGGCTCCATTGTGATCCAACCATATCCAACTGCCCCGTAGATTGGTGTGTCTGCAACCATCAGTTCCAAAGCTGTGGATGCCTCATCTCCCTGTGGTAGAGGGCTATAAAGTGGTTGTCTGGCAGAAGCATCGCTCCTCCGAATGCGACTCCGGCCGTCTCGGATGCGAACCCAGCGAGCCAGGATGCCTGGAGACTCGTGACCGGCTCAACCAAACTGCTTGTGCAGAAAAAAGGGCCTTGGCTGAGAGATATATGTTAGTGCTGACAACTCGGCAGGAGGGGCCATGAGGCGATGACGGCGTTGTCACGTCGCTTCAGCGCCTTGCTGCACGGCAGCTCCCCCTTCCCCGTACGCAAGAGCGTCAGTGAGCACTGTCATGGATGGCCAGCATCACTTTTGTGCGGTGCTATGAGCACCAGGTGGTGGCAATGTGTGCTTGACATGTGCTGGTGGTCGCATGCGCTCTTCAATGGCGGCTACAGCTGAATCTCGCACTGATGGGGCACCAATTCATGCCCGCATGCCGTTCACAATCGAGTGAACTGTGGGGAACGGGGCAGGAGATGTTGTGGCTCCTCCGTGGCCGCACGCATTCCTGGTAGGTTTGCTCCAGCTACCTTGCGGCTCGGATTCCCGAGCAGTGTGGACACTTCCCTACCTTGATGTGTGTGACTGAATTGGTGATGCACCCAACCAAGTACTCAAGGTCACCCTCGCCGATCAAGTCAAGTGGTGCGGGTGATAGTGCTTCAAATAGGAACCGGAGCGAATGTGAATGCGCCCGAAATTGGCCTCCAGCGCACCTTTCTAGGTGTGCTTGCCAAGCTTGCGTATCCACCACCACTTACTTCCTACTTGTCGTAGGTATTGGGCACCACGAAGGAATTGCATGCACCAACCGGCAGGCTGCCCGCACCATTAGGAAGCAAAGAGCGGGATACCCATATCAAGGCATCGCAACTCGATGCGTGAGTGACCAAGATACTACGGTCCAACCTGGTACTTTGCAGCATCGGGCTCATGCGTGTACTCAAGGCTATTCAATGTAGCCACCACATGAAGTCCTGCCTGTGCCACTGGGTTAGCTAGAAGTGTCCCGGCCCATGGATATATGGATGGTTGCATTCTTTGGCCTGCATCAAAGTGAAGCGGACTTTCCATGAATGTGGACCAAAACTTCATCGTCTGGGCAGAAGTCGTGACTACTAGGAAGTCATTGTAGGTGGAAATCCCCAAAATCTGGTCAGAGTCCTGGCCCTGCAATTGCCCGTTCCTGGGCACTCACGTTCTCGTGGTGATGGAATGTACAGTCGACTGAGAAGGGGGTGATACCCTAAAGGACCAAAGAAGCAACACCACCACGCCAGCGTCGGTTTTCGTACCAGATGCGTGTGTACGTTTCTTTTGCTTGCCCTCATCGTGGTGCAGGATTTGCAACTGTTCTTTGGACCATTTCCCAAAACTTCTTCTTGGGAATTGTTGCCGTCAAATCAGCTTTCAAGCCGATTCAGAACTTTCTTAACGCTACGTAAGGGAACAAATCATATTCGATGTTAACCGACCCTTTGTTGAAATCAATTGGGGTTTCCACTTGATTTGAAGGTTCTCACATGATCTAACGTCTGTTAATATGCCTTCGAAACCAGTAGCTGTAACTGTAGCTGATTATGACTCAAGTGGCGTGGAGCCACGTGATGAAATGATATGACATGTTTTGTTGTACACAAAACTTTACACGACTCCGCCGAAGGCTCACCATCAAAATCCAGGTGCTGTTCTCCAAACAGGTCTTGCTATTTGGCTTCGATTCAAACCAAACATCCGTATTAAGCCTGTTCTGATCCATTCCAGACTTTGCGCCATCCGTTCCCGGCCGTTCTGTCCCGCCTCCCCACAGCGCCGCTGACGCTCCAGCAACTGCCGGCACAGGGCCAAGAGCAAAGGTTCGTCGCGGCGGAAGAAGCGGCCATAGGCCTGCGGCCGGGGGACAGGAACCACAGCTGTGTGAGGCGAACTGGGTGGAACCCATCAGGAAAACCCCTGTGGATGATGAGTAGACGCTAACTTGACCAAGAAAAGGCACTGCCAAAACACGAAGTCGCTTTGAAATGGTTCGGGTGAGTGATGCGGTCAGGCGTGTCCCAGTGGCCGGTCGCGGATCCTTGCGAGAGCGAACAGTGGCCGGGCATGAAGGGCTGCACGCCGGAACTGCCTGGGAGCGAACAGCTGCGTCACTGGCGGAAGTCTTAGACGAAGGCGTCCGAGAATGGCCAGTGCTCAACTTCGGGAAGTCCAGCCCTCGCGTTGGACCAGAACGTTGATCGTTGATGGGACCAAACATGGCTGTAGTTCTTCCCGCCATGCGAATGCCAGCATGCGCCATGCGCCAGCATGCGCCATGACAATGGCGCCATCGGAGTGAAAGCTTGGCCTTCGCTCGTCAGTGACCATCACTACTTCCACTTCGCTCTCCAGCTCTCCTTAAGCAACCGACGTCAGGCCAACGGCATCTGTCAAGCCTGAACCATGCCGGCGGACGTGGTAGCTCAATTCAGCCCCGAAGATGTAATGTATAGGGTTTCATCGAATAGAGCTGTTCCTTTCCAGTTCATGCCCGAGCTTTGCAAGTGATGCCGACAGCAGGCTGATCAAGGCACATGAACTGGCAAGGCTCATCGATGCCTTGCACATGGTCTTTTTCGACTATTTTCTGGAGGTGCTTCGCGCAAGAGCCACACACTTCGAAATTGGCATGTCAATGTGTCGGCTCGTCCTCATCTGAACATGCTACTCGGATGCTTCGTTGTTTGACGGTTCGGTTGGCTGGGGTCTTCGCTCTTCAGCCTTGATTTGTTTTAACTGAAAGGTGGTTGATCCCGCTTGCAATGTCGCCCGACCCTGACCGATGCGGGATCTTGTTCAAACGCCCGCCTGAGCCTGATCTGTTTACATCCTTTCACCTCTCATTTTGGTGACGTTCAGCTGTTCAGCTGGACAGGAACCACTGGAGCCCGGTCTGAAGGCTCCAGCCTTGGTGTGCGCACGTTAGCAATACAAAACTAAACACCTAGAAATTGTGAACATCTGTAACTAACCAAACCATCTCAGTCAGGTCATATCCGTCTACATCTTTGCCCCCCTTCACCAGGCCATACCGGTCGAGATGGGCGAAAGTGACCAATCGCCGGCTGCTGGAGCAATGAACGGTTATAACAGTTACCAATAGGAGCAGTGGCCATGGCACCCCAATGGCATGACCAAGGATTGAAGAACCCACACCCCCAAAGTTGGGTGATGGACAAGAATGTTGGCACAGTACACCAGGTCGAATCTACAAATTCTGACTGTAGAGAATATCCTATGTATATAGACGAGCTGTTTGAGGAAGCCTCTTTGTTTGAGCTACAAGTTTTGAAAAAAAAGCATCTGGCCGTTTCAAGGTCATGACCAAGTACCACCCCTAAAGAGTTCAAATCCACAGATAGCAGCCAGCCAGCCCAGGAGGCCAGTCTTAGCCTACAGTAGCAAGGACCACCCATTCAGGGATGGAACGTGTGCTGCCAATCCTTGACCCTCCAGTCGATGGTGTCCGTCATCCCGAAGCTTGAACTTTGGCGTGGATGGCGGTCCCCAAACCGATCGACTTGGCCGCAAATGCTTCAATTTGTTCTTCTGCTCTCAACACACAACGTCAACTGGACTCCGTAGTAATGTATAATGGCTTGGGGAATATGTAAATACATGTAACTACAAACATGTATGTACATGAAGGTTGTTGAACAAGTCTTGTTGGAAGATCTGACACCTGAAAGAACAAAACGATTTTACCTGTAGATTTGGTGAGGTTCTGTGAGTTTCCCCGATGTGAATGACATCAATGTAATTTGAAGCTCTCCAAACTTATGTGTATATATATACACATACATTTTAGGTTTAAACATAGACTCTGGGATGATGCTACATCAGTGTCCTACGGGGTGCAAAACTGCCATCAGAAGTTATTGCAAATGCCTTGTGATGGGCCGGGAACGAGATAAAATTTCAGCACATTTTTGTGGAAGTCGCCCATTTGGATAAGTGACTCCCAAACAAAGACCCCACCCCACACTCCAGAAATCTTGTCAAAAAGGTATCCTCGGCGGTCCCCACATGTGCGATCATCGCCAGGTTCTGGATGCTGCAGCTGGGCAAGGCGTCGATCAGCGGCTCCTGAAACCCCGCCGCACGTCGATCCAGGCGTCAATCATTGGCACAGGCGAATCGCATATTATATCTATGATATATTAATATGTTATATGGTTTCATATATGATCGTTTTTTTGATTGTTTTAACTACGATTCTATTTGTTTTGTTTGTTTTTTTGTGTGTTTTTTTTTGTAGACATGCTTCTGCTCTGAAATAACATATAAACGTGAAAACACTATAAATATACAGTACTACAACTGCGATGTAATTACATAGTCTTGTTACTAGTAACAAGTGCATCGCTAGTAGTAACAAGTGCCTTACTAGTAGTAACAAGAAGCTAGTAGAAACAATAAGCAGTTATGGCAATTCACTATATGTCGATCCGGGGAGCTTGTTCTGTCTCGTTCCTGGCTGTAACCATACTGTTCTGTTGGCTGTTGATTGTTCATCCAAAACCTCATGTAACCTGGATTGATTGAGGTCTCTCAACCAACCTCTCAGCCCCCCCAAAAGAATTTCTCAACCAAGCTCTCGGAAATAAAAGGCTGCTGTTTTTCCACAGCCGTGGATCACCTATACCAAGCTCTCACCTCACCCGAACTGGGCCACGGCCCAAACGCCACTTCTCCTGCATGGCCTCAAAGACCTCGGCGTCGTGGAGCCATAAGCGTGCATAACCATTGGCCACCTCGGCGGCGAACAACGTGAAGGAGCGGAAGATCCGGGCCCCAAAGACGAAGGGGCCCTATACAAGGTTTGCTACTAGGAACAAGTGCCACGCTAGTAGTAACAGGTGCCTTACTAGTAGTAACAATGTTTGCTATTGATTAGTAGGGGAGGAACAAAAACAAGAAAGCGGGATTGGGACGAGTGATCTCCATGGGCGGCGATGATGGCCAATTCATTTGCGGCGCCAAGATGGCAATCCACAGCTAGCTAGGAAGAGTGCAAGCTTGCATTCATGAGCTGGACGTCAACATTCAGTTCATGTACATGTGTTTGTTTGTACCTTTCTGCATTTTGGTGTAGTTGTCCCTGGAAGTGGGTGCAATCCATGGCTGTGAAGTTGGCTCTCGAATCTCACACCATCATCCACCTTTTGAGGGCGAACTGAACCTCCTTTTGCCAGCGGGTTCAGAGTAGATGACACAATCCCCAAGTTGGGTGGTTTATATGGATGCCCATCTGAAAGCACTGTATATAATTGTAGGTCCGGTGCTTCTGCGTCTCACAAAAAACCGTCTGACAAGATTGAGCAAAAATTGCAAAAAGTAAATGCATTATGTCAGGGGAGGACCAGAATGACAGGTTGGAGGCCAGGGACCCTTGGCAGGACAACACACCAGGAGCAGGGCAAGAGAGCGAGGTTTTGCCTTCAAGGCGTTTGAACGTTCTTGAATTGAATTGCAAGAAAAAGGTGCGTTTGTAGAGTAAAACACATCCATATTCATAATATCATATAAGCGTTTACAAGGACACCTTAAGGGGTTTCCATTGATAGGGTTTTTGGATGTTGAGGGGTGTCCATCAACCACCCCGACAGTGGGTCTTGGTATAACTATATTTGTTTCTTCGTGATTAAGCCAGCCGACTGGCTGGTTTCTCCAACAATCTCTGGGCAACCCTGCGGTGGCCAGATCCACAGCATTCCTTTGAGGTGCCGGGAGGTTGGTTCGGACATTTCAAGGTAGATCTTGAGACTTTTCTGAGCCTTTTTTGTTTTGTTTGTTTGTGTATACGGTATACATTAAAAAACATGTTGTCATGTTTGTTATGTAATTAGTTATACGTACATTAAACATCATTAAACATATGTTTTCTCGTTTGTTCCCCTCCTCGTGCATTTTGGTGTGGCTGGGCCTATGCCGTTTGGATAATAGAAACGCTTGCGGCACACAGATCACACAGGACTTCGGACAAAAAACATCTTCGGACACAAACGTTTCGTTGATCTCTTGCACCCATTTCACAGAGTCATCAAGATAGTTAATTCAAGACATTTCCATCATGGCTTCAGGCTCAGGGTTTGGATCGACGCTATACGAAGCTCCGACGACTCAGGTCGCGGCAGGGCGCGGGCCGAAGACTTCAACTGGAAACTGATGGCGCCCATCAACTCCTCGTCCTGCAAAAATTTGTGACCAAAACCAAACAAAAATTCCCACTCCCACAGTTTACTCTGGGGTGAATTTGTGTTTCTTGGCGAAACCGGTGATCAAGAACCAAAGGTTACATCATAAAAAAAACATAAATTGTGGACTTACCAAGTTAGTCGCTCAAAAAGGGTCTATTTCTGCACCAATGTCATGTCAGAATTGAGAAACGCAGAAAATGCCTGGGCAAACATGAATGCCTTGGAGAGTGACATCCTCGCTAGCATGCCGTCAAAAACGCGAATCTGCCTATGGTTTGCACACACCCGATGGATAACCTGATCACCTATAGACTGCCTGCAAAACTCAAGACGAAGACGGGAGTGGATCCACAGGCTCCTTAGGGTATAGGAAAGTCAATGTTCCCAAAATCGACGGGGAAATGGATGAAACACAACGGGGGGAATGAAGGGACACGAGGGGGCAATTGATGAAACACAACGGGGCGGGAATGAAGGGGCACGAGGGAGCAATTGATGAAACACGATGGGGGGAATGAAGGGACACGAGGGGGCAATTGATGAAACACAAGGGGAGGAACGAAGGGGCGCGAGGGGGCAATGGATGAAACACAAAGAGGAATGAAGGGGCACGAGGGGGGCAATGGATGAAACACAAGGAGAGGAATGAAGGGGCACGAGGGGGATTGATGAAACACAGCGGGGGGGAATGAAGGGGCGCGAAACACAAGGAGGAGAATGGGGGAACAGGAGAAGGCAATTGATGAAACAAAACGCGGGGGGGCAATGGATGAAACACAAGGAAGGGAATGAAGGGGGCGCGAGTGGGCAACGGATGAAACACAAGGGAAGGAATGAAGGGGGGCACAAGGATGAAAAACAAGGGAGGGAATGAAGGGGTACGAGGGGGCAACGGATGAAGCACAAGGGAGGGAATGAAGGGGCGCGAGGGGGCAATGGATGAATCACGACGGAGGAATTATGAAAGGGCGCGAGGGGGCAACGGAAAACAGAATGGTGGAATGAAGGGTGCACGAAGGGGGCAATGGCGGGCAATGGATGAAGGGGGGGAAGGAAGGGGGCACAACCGAGAAATTGATAAAACACAAGGGAGGGAATGAAGAGGCCATGAGGTGGGCAATGGATGAAGGTGGGAATCTAGGGAGCACGAGGGGGGCAATGGGTGAAAGACAAGGGGCTCACTGTTGCACGCAACCTCGTTTATTTACTGTATGTATTTATCTGGAATCCCTCCATGACATGACATGAGGTTCCGGAGACAGAAGCGTCCTTATGACAAGTTTCCTCAGGACAAAATATCACCAGTTTGCTGGCCACACTGACTGGCGCCCCTGAACTCTGTGGCCGGGCTCTGTGACCGGGTCTTGTTCTCCTCTTTTGTCTTCTCTTCTCTTGTCTTCTCTTATGGCCGAACAATTAGCGATGTTGATGCCGACAAAAATCATTGATAAAGCAGTTTGCTCTTGGGACGGGAAGGTAGGCCGTAACAAGAAATTGGTTTTGACGAATATTGGTCCAAACGAATCGTTTTGAAACTGTTTGGGGTCTATGCTGGTATATTTCTCACCGTTTGGTCAAAGCTGTCATCGGATAGGAGTTGTCATCGTTTGATCGAACCTGTCATCGTCTAGAAGTTTTCATCCAATTTGATTATATATATATATTAAATTGGTGGGGGGATGGGTGGGGAGGGGTTCAGAAGCGGTCCACGTCAGGTCGAATCTGTCATTACCATCATCATCATCATGATCATAATGATCATCAGAATCATCATCATAATCATGATAATAATCATGCTAGTAATGATAACAACAATACTAATAACAATAATCATCATCAGCAGCATCAGCATCATCATCATGATCATAATGATCATCAGAATCATCATCATAATCATGACAAGAATCATGATAGTAATAATAACAACAATAATGATAAGAATAATCATCATCAGCAGCATCAGCATCAGCATTATCATCATGATCATAATGATCAGAATCATCATCATAATCATGATAATAATCATGATAGTAATAATAACAACAATAATAATAACAATAATCATCATCAGCAGCATCAGCATCATCATCAGCATCATGATCATAATGATCATCAGAATCATCATCATAATCATGATAATAACAATGATAGTAATAATAACAACCATAATAATAACAGTAATCATCATCAGCAGCATCAGCATCAGCATTATCATCATGATCATAATGATCAGAATCATCATCATAATCATGATAATAATCATGCTAGTAATGATAACAACAATACTAATAACAATAATCATCATCAGCAGCATCAGCATCAGCATCAGCATCATCATCATCATCATCATCATCATCATCATCATCAGCAGCAGCAGCAGCAGCATCAGCACCAACATCTATAATAGGAATAACAATCATCGTCGTCATCATCATCACAATGTGTGTCTTTAGTAGCATGGTCATCAACATTATGACTCCTCATAATCATCGTCACAATCATGTCCATATTCTTTGTTATCATGTTTGTTAATCCCCTGACTCCTGACTTGTGACTCAAGGTTATGGTCAAGAGTCAAGAGTGAACAACTCTTGGGGACTTACATTGTATTTTGGCTTCCATGAATTTGACCGTATCCGTATCCCAATACCACTGTGGCATTGCTTTGGAGTTGATCATACTTCTTCGCCTGGCATGTGTTCCATATCCTGGATGGGAGGCAATTTGACTGAGATTGATTGGGTTGTGCAAGCTCTGACGCAAGAAGAGGTGGATCCGGGAGCCTTGTCATGTCAAGTTTGCCTACAAAGTTGCTGCTTCGAATTCTTGCCTTCTACCCTTTGAGCACCGCTTGTCTATCTTGCCAGGTCATTCTCTGTCTTCCCTTCTCATGGTCTGTCGGTATGTGCTGCTCACATCCTTTGTCGCAAATATGTGAACACATTCGGAACACTTGTGCTGCCAGTGAAGAATGCGTGTAATTTCAGGTGATGAGAACATGGAATGTCCAACTATGAACCCAACAAAGGCAGTTATATATCTGATTCTAAACATTAATGTCTGTGCGCTTCCTGCTTCCAGACCCCGAACACTCGCAAAAACAATATTTTTGAACAAGCAACCAGGGTAAGACCGCTTCTGCCCATCCACAGAGAAAGAGTTTCCAGTGGTTTGTCATCACCTAGCACTTGCCTTAAAGAGCCTCTCTGGTCCATTACCAACACCACCGACTCAACTGTGAAAGACATGCAGAAACGCAGACAGGCTCAAAAACATCGGTATGGTACTCCAATTGATGTGCTGCCCCGGAGAACCTCAGGGCTCGGCTGTCTGCATTTGCTTGGAGGATGTGGCAAGACCTTGTTCCAACTTGAGGATGACCACTGGTCGTCTTCCATTCTGTCGACCTGAGCCGCACTAGTTTAAACCTCACCCGACCAGTCGACCGGGCCCATCGCTCCCTGCGCCGGAGCTTGGAGAAAGCATTCACCACCATTGCCTCGGCCGCCCGAGGGCGTGAACATCGTGAACATCGAACTGGAGGCTCCTTTGGGATGCTTTGTAACTGTAAAGGTTTTTATACATGTGATAATATATTGGTTATACAATTACAGTGGTTTCAGAGTAGATGGCGCAATCCCCCAAAGGTGGTTTATATGGACCCCCATATAAAAGACATTTGGGTTTGTGCCATCTGTTCTGAAGCTACTATAATATATATATATATTGATGTATTGGTTCTCACATGTTTGCAGGTCAGCTTCCCCTGAAATGCATCCAAATGTCCATCATCTGGGGAATGCTATTTCAGTGAGCCCAGGTAACTGACCCACACAAACTTTGGATTGAGTTTAGATTCGGTTTTGGAGACTTGCTATTTTGTAATTCGGGTGAATTGGCACATGCTCTGTGTTATTCACAACATGTCATAACTACACCTGCGCATTCCACGATCGGGATGCACTCCCCTGTGGGACAACTAGAGAGGCTGAGACCAACCAGTGCCATGGCTGCAAGAGTGAGCAACACACACAAGTCCACAGGTTGATTTTGCGGACGTATAATGACTTGTGTCACTTGAATTCTTGCATTTACCAGCTTGTACAGGGCCTGTTCAGAATATCGTTCCCCAATGCCTTCATCCTTCGTCCAATGGATTCCAAATGCAGTCGGTCGAAACCCTTGGTGGCAAGGCCGCTTAAGCGAACCTCCAACTGATCACATGATAAACACAACGTGTTCAAATGCCGAACTCCACGGTCCGCACCGATGGCCGTTGGAAGCCGACTGAGCGTCCCGACCACGCGGCTATGCCGCCTGAGCGTCCCGACCAGGTTCCGCGCTTCCATCTGCCCTTTCCAAGCCACTGCCTCTACCTGGTGCGGGCGGGAATCAACGACTCGGAATGGGTGACTACTCGAAAGGACTGTTCAGCGGTCTAAACAGGTCAAATTGTGAGGCCGGAAAGAAAATAGGTCCACAATGGTTCACGAATGTTCATGATTTAGCGGCATGTATGTTCATGTGATTCCGTGTCTATTGCATGCTGAGACAGCCCCAATCACATGCAACTTGTTGCAGGCTTCAGCGCCTGACGTGCTAGGAACGTCAAGGTCTCCTCATGCTGCAGCATCGCACGGGCATAGGCGTTGGCCTCAGATGAGCTCCAGCATCGAGATGCGCATCCGGTTGGGAGGAAAGGAAAGAACTGTTTGTCACATGAACGGGTTCCCACGTTAACCAAATAAAGAGTCCAATCCAAAACAAATCAAAACGATCGCAGTGAAACCAGCTCTGTTTTGGGACGTCCTCTATTCTATATGTGACTCTGTCTGGCTGTGAGGGGAGCGATTGAAAGAACTCAGTCATCGATCGCCTCCAACGTTCACCTTCCTGAGCTCCATTGAGTTGAATGACACATTAAAGACCAAGCACAAGGTCACTTTTGTAGCAACAAGGCATGACAACTTGACCACTGGATCTGGGGAAAACCAGTTGACCAAACTGGACAGAGTGCCGTGTGCAAACCCAGCTGGGAAGTAGTGTCCCAACCGATCCGCAATACCCAGTCCACGTAGACCGCCTCCTTTTCAGAAGACGTCCACGCCGACCGTCTCTACCCGACGTCATCCAAGCGTCGACGTCCAATTTCCACTGACCTGTCGGACGTTCCTGCCACGCCTTCGGAACCTGTTCAAAACATGTTATATATACAAAACTCTATAAAACATTATAAAGCCATTCCACATGTCATGGCTCAAATACAGGCAATGTTCCACAAGGGCTTGGAGTTGAACAAGACCTTCAAGGTTGAAACCGGTTCTCCTTCGTTGGGCCTTATACTGGGCCGTTTGGTTATAAACAAAAGCCGGCAAACTCGTTTGTAGCGTTACGACTGACCTGTCAGTCATGCTGCCACGCCGAGTTTCTGCCAGTCCGAGCGCTTTGCAATCTACTTCGATGTACGACTGGCAGAGCGAAGAGACTTCCGCTCGACCGAAGCATCGACCAGAGCGGATGTCGTTCTTTCTACCCTGGTCGTTCCGTCCCAGCGACCCTGAAAGCCGGGTCGGCAGTGAGAAAGATATTGAGACGCGTGGTGCAAATCTGAAAGGAATTACGCCACCTTCAGGCTTTGATTCATCTCACCTGGACAACCTTGGGCTCCTGCTGTTTCCACCACGTGGGGGGGGTCTCTGATGGATGAGCCGAGGTATGTCGAGGTGAAGGGATCTGATCTAAGATCTAAGCACCCAGTTTTATAATCCAAAAGCCGATATATCATATATCCGACATTCTCGGATTGATATAATCACGTTCTGCATTCTAACTTGTCCAACTACAGACCGATGCACAAACCTGAGCAACCTGGAAACTCTTTCAGGGATGTGTTGGGTGTTGTTTGAGGGATGTCCATGAACATCTGCTTTTAAGGATGGCTTAGGTCTTGAAATCCCGCGACAATCTTAAAGATCTTCTTGCTGCGGAGGTGTTTATCCAAAACCGTCTGAAGCTGTTATCAACATACAAGTCTTGGTTTGCTTCAAGACAAACTATGGATCATGATTGATCCATTGAATCATTCTGAAGGAAACACACCTCCTGCAATGTCTTAAACGAAATCAACATGCTTTCCCCAACGCCACCGGTGCTCCGTGTGGCCGTATTCCAAATCCTCCCCCATGATGTGTCAGCCAATCGCGTGCAAAATAACGGCGTCGTTGCATCACTCATCGGCCTGGATGAGAGTCTCTGAGAAGGTCGTCCAAAGGGCTTCATCCAGGATCTTCGAGTGTGCGAAGTGATTCAGGGCCATCGACACCTCAACACGAGAAGTGATGAAAGGGGCCACATGGATCTGGAACTTGCATGAACGCAGCAAGCGCGGAAGCAAGCAAGCAATGTTATTTTTTTCGCCATGAAGCACATATAGGATATATAGTGGACAAATGGTGGATGTACATCGTATATCAACGTATTAGATTCTTGAAGCAAAGGATGAGGATGATTAGTCAGCTCTATTATTTGTATATATACCCAGGACATATTTTTGACTTGCTTAATCACATCAGTTGTATAATCTGCCAGTTCGGCTGTGGGGCCCAGTCCAAGGATGGAAGACATCCTTAGAGCCTTAGACATCCTTAGACTTAGCACCGAAATCTTTGTCCGAAACGGACTGAACAAGTGTGATATTTGGACTAAAAAGATGCATGATAGGAGCAACTTTGTCAAAGAAGAACTTCGGGGAGACTGCACCTTGTTGATACAGCCAGAAACGGAGATACAGTAGTTGGAAAGGATCCTCTGAAAATTCTCAAGGAGTATGTCAAATGAATCTCCTGCGTCAGAATCCTTCGGCGGTAGGCCAAAGAAGACATGTTGCAGTAGAAGCAACAACGAAAAGCCACAAAAGCACGGCCACCACCATGCACCAATTGCAACAAAGACCCGCAAGACAAAATACACATGAACTGAACTGAACATGGTTATAGCCGTAGCGTGTTGTACCATACCCTAACCGTTGGAGAGAACACTCGGCGCAGATCGTCACACCGCCTCGGCGGGCCGCAGCAGGTGCCCGTGTCGCTGGAGCTCGGAGGCCAGCGCGATCAGCTGCCCCTGAGTGGGTGGTTGGATAGGCTAGTAGCAAGAAGTTGCTAGTAACAAAGGGCATCGCTACTAGGAGCAAGGACACTACTAGGGGCTCCTGGCCTTACTACTAGGAACAAGAAGCTACTAGGAGCAAGCACCGTTGGGTGGATAGACTAGATGACGACATACAAGATGGATCCCTACAAGGACCGCACCAGCTGCTAACTGAAGGGGGGTCAGTTCCAACTCCTCCGAAGTGCATAAGTTAGTGAATGATAGCTGATAGCTGACTCTTTATCCCCCAAACTCAACAGACTGGCTTCGGGGTCCGTTCTGTTGCAATATATAGTTACTGAGCTTCGGGGATTCGATCCATTGGTGAGGATCTTCGGACAATCAATTGCAGGTTCCCAGGTTCCCAGCTTCCCATCTTTCAGGTGCAAAAGCCGTTTTGGTGGTCGAACTGCCCTGAAGGCTACCACCCTCTCCAGGAATTATGTTCAGTACCAAAACTGGTGGCACGGAGAAAGAAATCCTGCCAAGCTCGCGCTTGTTACATCTCTGTTGGTGCATATTCTGTTGGTGCCGGAAATCTTCCAATGCATCATGCCGCACCTTGTCTTTCTGCAGGAAGGCTCGATGGAAGTGGGAGCACAGCCGCAGGATCTGCAGGAATAAAATCTGAGAACTGTTGGGCACACGCAAGGACGTCCAAATTCAAGAAAACTATAATATGGGCCCCTTTCTATGGTGCCCAGCTGCTGGGCGGACGAAATAACATCTTTCCACAGAGTATGACAGCCAAAAGACAAAAGGTAGGAGTACACTGAGTACACTCCCTCGAATCCTCACGAATTTTCTGGAGTGAAAACAACCTGTTTGTCTTCGGATTTGGTCATTCGATGCCTTCAAGGTGTCATGCCTTCGACGGTTCCAGATTCCTTCACCACCCGTCCGAGCTCAGCCCGACCCAGGAGACCCAGCGGACGGGATGACGGCTGTGGAAATGATCAGAATGATCTACCTAAAAGAAGACATGTCATGACATGTCATGTATTCTACCAACAAAAGAAACACAGTCGAACATGCAGGCGACGTGCTCCCATAGAACCCATTTTGAGGATTCAATGATGAATTCGGTTTAAATTCATCCAGACCTGCAGAAGTCGATGGATGATTAGTTGATTAGTTGTTCCGCTTGTTCCGCCTGCTGCGCCGAGAACTCCGGCATCTGCCCGCGGATCGCTTCGCGGGCTTCGCTGTGGTGCAGCCAGCGAAGACAACGAACGCCCCGCACATGGCACGCCAAAGGCGAACGCGCCCGTGCGCGGAGTCGCGACGGGGGTTTTGTTCCACGAGGAAGAGTGCTCAGTCCTCCCAAGCCAAAGAGACTGACTCTTTGATCGGCTGATAGCTGGTGGTTTTGGCAGAGATGTTTTTGTGGAGAAGCCATAGGCCCACCCAAGACTTGGTCGACTTGGTCTCGTGGTTTGAGGTGGAGTTTTTGGTGGGATTTCAATGAACCCAGGAACCCAGGATGGAACATGTCTGGACCCAGTGATTGACCATGGAATGATTGAATCTGGGCATCAACTGCAGGTAGATCGTCTTACACGACTCGTGATGTTGCGGCTGCATGTGTGGTGGTGTTCGTTTCGATCGAGCATGTGTTTCTCCTAGTAAACAGTTTTGATCGGCTGTCATGAGCTTAAGCAAAACAAAATAATTCTGGCACAAAGCTGCTGAGCTCTCGTGTTCTGCTGGCTCTTTGGGCCTTGGCTGAAGAGAACCATATTATATATGTTTTGCTTGGCTGCTGATATATCTTCTAACACCACCGATCTCCATAAAGCAAACGAATCGCTCAGGAGCTCATTGGGGGGTCCCACCTGACACATTCTCCTGCACCACCCAAGAGGTCCGGAAAGGTTCGACGAACAGCTCACTGATCTGCACCAACTGGTGCAGGAGAACATGATCATGAGCTTACATAAACCATGGATTTTGATTGCCACCACGCTGAGCGACTGGGGTTCTCCAGGTGTGTGGTCTTGGTTCAACCAACTGGTGCGAGCTGGCCAGGAGTTCCTGAACCCGAGCCGCGAGCCCTCTCCGAGCTTGGAAGCTCTCCGAGCTCGGCCGCCGATGGCCACCGATGACCTGCCAAGATGCCCTTGGGAATGCACTGTGGCAATTCGCCCACCTGCCACGCGATGCGTCCGCAACCCCACAGGGTGCCGGTCGGTCGGATCTCCAGGAGTCCGAGATTTAAGTGGAAGAAACCTGGGCCCTTGGTACTAGTAGCTTCTTGCTACCAGTAGTAGTGCCAGGAGCTACTAGTATAGCTTCTTGCTACCACTTAGTAATGCCCTCATTAACGCTTGTTACTCGTAGCGATGCACTTCTTAACTCAGAACCAAGGGCATCGCCCCTCTAGGAGCGATTGGACGCTACTCTTTTAAGGAATCGCTCGGTGGAACGAATCGTCTCGAGGTCCGGCAAAATCCACTGCCCCATCTCCACAGGTCTGGGGGTGCTGTTTCAATATGTTATGCTTCACAATGCTTGGCGAGAAGCGATTTTTTCTTTAAGGACTTGGTTGAGGGACCCTTTACATAGACCTGTTTTAGAAGTTAAAACATGTTTCAAATGATTTCTGTAACCTCACCACCCAGACTTATACAAACTGAATGTGGAATCTCCATCATCTCCTTGTTTTGGGCCCAACCAGTCTGAGACGGACCACGGACGACCCGACGACCACCTGGCTGACCCGGATGGCCTCCCGCGGGACCAACGAGCCAAGAAGAAAAGACACCCGCTGCTCATCGCGGCTCACAAGAAAAAAGCACCCTTTCGTGCCCAAAATTGCAAAAGGTGGATCGGATGATTAGGAGAGGAAAAAGGGAGCAAAAGTGGGGTCAACCATCGAGCCTTGGATCTTCAACTCCTCTCCCTTTTCAAGATCCTTTCGAAAGGTGCCTCAAATGAATTTCTGTCGTTGTCATCCCAACACCGACGGTCGCCCGGTGCTCCGTTCGCCTCCCAGTTGCCCTGGCCGCAGTAGCCGGAGCAGCTCACGTCACCTTCCTTGGGCAGATACCGCGCTCCGCTGCTAAGCGCCCACGGGCAGAAGCGAAGAAAACGAGGGCGTCAGATCGGAAGTGTACCTGGACCCTCCAGTTTGTACCACTACATTGCGGGGGCATGACGCCGATGGTCTCACAGGTGCTTCGATGGTATATATACTTGCCCATGGTGCTTCGATGGTAGTTGGAGTCTAGGTGCATGGATTCATACTGTGATTGTCGGCATGCTGGTAATGCCTGTTGCTCTTCGTTGTCGTTGTCATGGTGGTCGTCGATGCAAGGAAAAACAATGACAGCACAGATGCAGCAAATTGAAGCATTGGTTAACTTCTTACCTTAATCATCCTTTGATGCTTGAGGACATGCGAGGATATCCTAATCGATGGCTTGGTATTCGAAAAGATTGCAACAAATTGTTTTGTTTTATTTTTGTGTGCATCCGGAAAGAACCAAGGCAGGACATGGCAAGACTGAAGATTTGCATGTGAATGCGAAAGTGGTTAAACATGTCAATGTACAGTTACTGTACATGTACGGGACATTCAAGTACAGGATTTGCTGCATCGTCCACTTGAATTTTGAGTGGGGCACCCCGAAAACCAGAAACCGTTCTCAGTTCTTCGACGATCCATTCGCCAAGCATCTTCGCATGGGTTCAAGCACTCGGTTTCGTTGCTAATGGACCCTCAGCGAGGTGGAAAACTGGCCACGGGGAAGACATGCGGGCGGAAAAACATGCAAGCTCTGCAGACTCAAAACCGAGTGCGCCTTTATCTTATTTCAGATTTACGTTCCATGTTGGCGTTGTTCGTTCGCTTTGGGGAGTGACTTTGCTCGTGTCCCGGCCCAAGCACACATCCACATGAATGCAATAAGTGACCTCAATCACACAATAGGTGTACAGTAAATCTTAGCTACATGTTTAAAAGCTTGAAACAAAATCTATTCAAACCTCATGGATCCTCCTCGACTCCTTGTCTCTAAATACACAGATAAGTCCAATTTGATTCTCTGCTCATCTGAAACTAGCCCAAGGTTAAGGTCGCCATGAAGCATTCCCCAGAACCAAGTGATACTTTCAGCTTCAAGCCAACGAGGCGGAGGCCAGGAGGAAGGGCGACCCGGATTCGGATTCCTAAATCTCTCGCATGACAACCGCCCCTTGCATGCTATACCTTCTGCTTCCCCAAGTTCCCACTGTTTGCTTCATCGGAGCTTCGAACGGCGCCAGCCGCCGGTCCCACCGCCTGTCGCCGAGGTGCCATCGTAGTTACACTGCTTGGGCGCCTCGGCACCGGACATCCCGGACACGGTGGACACTGCTTGGAGACGAAGAAACCATGACAAGTCCAGCAGGAAGATGTACAAAATCGTAAACGCATTCTGGTAGTAGAGGGGTTTTATTCATCAAGAGTCTACGTTAAATGGAATGCGGACCATCAAAAGCACCAGGATGTTTTTCTTGAAAGAATCCGCTTGGAAATGGATTGTAGCGCCGCCCTATTTAGGATGCACACGCTCGCGTTGAAGTCCAAAAAGAAAGACCTGTTTTTTGACTCGCTTCCCAGAGCCATCGGTCTCGCCCAGCGGCCATGCAATCCTCCATCGTGTAGCGGCTGTGTGGGTTGTCGTGCCCACGGCATTCCTCTCGCATCATGCCTGGCCCCAGAGACGCGTGTCGTTGGACATTTTTCAAAGGTGTCGGTGCGAAAGCAGGACTGGTGAAGTGGCCGGACGTTGGTAAACCTTTCGGTGGCGTTTGGTTCAACTCTTGCTCCAGAAAGAATCAACAAAAGGCAGTAGCTCATAGTAGCTCAAAAGATCACCAGCCAGCCTTTGGGCTTACCTCTCCACATGACTAAATAGAAACCCAACCAAACCTTCTAGACGTGGATGTCAAATCCTCTCCGCTTCTTGTTCTCCAAAGATCCACCATTCTCGTCCAAGCAGATCTGCTCCCTACACCTCACCTGGCTGTTCCAAGAACTTGGTCGCCAGCACTGCAGCAGAGGCATCGCCTCGGACCTTCAGCTTCAGCTTCAGACCTGGGATGGACGGAAAACAAACGGGAAGACCGAGCTTTCAGGGTCATTTTCGGGGTACAAACATGAGAAAAGAAAACGAAGACTGAGCACAGAATTCATCCAGATCCCAAAATGTAGTGCATGAAAGTGCAGTACATGAAACATTTGTTTCGCAGTGTCAAGGGCAACCTGTTTAACCGTGCAACATGTCTGGGCATTGGTGGCCTTCCTCTTCCAACTGAGGCTAGGCTTTGGTGGGTTGCTACAAGGTTCACTGGTTGCAACGGCTCCCACTTCCCTTGTTTGTTTGTTTCAAGAGAGCTGTGTCGAATACCAATTGGAATTGGCGTTGTAATCCTAGCATCCTTTCGCAACAGGCTCAAGAGTAGCTTGCATAGTGAAGAAAACGGTTTGCCCTGAGAATCCCTGCACCGTCCATATCAGGAAACATACCCTCCAAAACGGCTAGCATGCTGCTTCACCAAGTGGCGTCCCTTCAGTTCCTCAGTGAGAATCAATCGGATCGGAATTCGGGCACACCAAGCACAGGCGCCGAACGGTTTTCGGACACTTCGGATTCGGGCTCTCCTCTGGACTAGACTGCACTGGGCATGCAAACAAGTCTCGGAAGGTCCTGCGGGGTAACATAGACACGTTGATTCTTGCGAAACAGGCCCTTCTAGATTCTTACGTGCATCATTTACTTTTCACATCTTTTCACTAAGGGGGACTAAAATGGACAAGCAATGATGATGGGGATGGGGAACAATGCAGGTTGCTGAAGGCTGAGTTTGAGACACATGATGGGAAAAGGGACAACAGTGGGATACATTTGTCCAATTTGTTCATTGAGACATGGTGTCCTTCTTGATCCAGAACCAAAACAACACATTTGTGCTGCCGTGCAATGCCTAAACAAAACAGTACGGCTTCACCAGCGCTTGGGTAAAAGTTCGCTTTCCTTGCCAAGCTGAAGAGGGATGGACTTCCGGAAGGAAACACGGACTAAAGAACATATGAAGACCGATCGACTTCGTGCTCTGCCTAGACAAGAGAGAAACATCCTCCTCAGTTGAAACATGTTGAAACATCCTCTAAGCATCTGGGATGGACTTGTCAATGAGGCAGGTCAATGTGGCTTGACCCCAATTGGGATTGGCCATCTCGTCAGGTGTCTTACCTGGGCTCCGCGCCCGGGTGCTCTTCAAACGGACCAGGTGTCGGGCTCGAATGGATCCTACACAGCTCACGCCCATGGTGGCCTAA